TACGGTCTTCCTTATTCACTGTTCAGCTTTCACATGCATAAAAGGTTAGTGAAAATACCATGGCTTGAGTCAGGTGATTAGAGATTAGTGATCAGAGTATAGAAAATAAAGCAACCAAATATATGGGATAACTGCTAGCTCAACAAAAATGTTCAAGATAAATAAAAGCTTAATATAACTCATCAGGAATATCTCTATACAATTTTAATCTTAGGTCAAAATGTGAAAACAACATACTGATTTAATCTAAATTGGCAATCTGTTAGGAACAGGGGAGGAGAGTTTGTGAGGATATATGTGTGTGTGTCTGCTAGATTCAGGAAGGATGGCATTGCTGAGAAGATTCCTCATTTTCTATAGTAAGAATAAATGAATAGTACCAGTCTTGGAAAAAATAATGAAGTAATACCAGAGTATTTTGACATGTGAAGACAAAACCAGAAGAAACAGTTAAAAATTAATTACTCTGGGGAGCCAGACCTCAGTCAATAAAGATGTGGAGTGTGAAAAGAGGCAGGGGTTATCTTATCCTTCATATGCCTTGCTAAAATCTTTTTAACTATGTGTATGCATTATTTTTATAAAAATAAAATTGAAATTGAAGAAGAAAAAAAATTACTAGTATAAAAAGGATATATGCATGAAGATGTTTATCATTACATCTCTTAAAATACTGAAAATTTTTTAAAAATAGAAATCTCCAAGATTGGGCATAGTTAAAATTTTTGACTTTGCATAATTTGGAACAAATTCAGCTAATAAAATTTGTATTTATCAACAATATTTAACATGGAAGAATGCTTTTACTATAATACTAAATGAAAATGTAGGCTAGTAAATTATTCATTGTATGATTTAATTTTATAAATATGTATATAAAATCCAGAGAGATCAGTCTAGAAGGAAATTCACAAAACCATTAATGAAGTAAATTCTTGACTGATAATTTAAATTTTATTTTTATATTTCTTTAAATTTTCTAACCGTTCTACAAAAGACATGTGCAATTTTTATAATCAGGGAAAGATGACATTTTAAATAAGTCAATTTATTAATTTAGAAGCAAATTCCACCAAATTAACAAGGCCAAGAAGAAACAATGTCTATCAGTCCTAGAAGTATAATTCAGCACTGTGTCTTATTATCAAAGAATAGATGATCTGGTTAACACCTTAGTCCTCAAAAGGGTGAAACACTGGACAAGAACAGCTCAATGAAGGAGTCACAGGGTATTGGCGTGATAAAGTAAGCAATAGGGCAACTAGGAATAGGTGCCCTCTAAGCACTGAAGACTCATGTTACTAACTTCTGTATCTAGACCAAACAGCCATCAACCATCTAAACCCACTTCCACTGAGTCAATTCTGACTCATAGCGAGCCTGTATAGAGTTCTCAAGGCTGTAAATCTTTATGGGAGCAGAGAGCCTCATCTTTCTCCCACAGAATGGCTGATATGTTTGCATCAACAGCCTTGAGATTAGCAGTCCAGTGCTTATTCTACAATGTCCCCATCTAGAAGGACCTCTAATATTTTATCCTGATTGTGTGCCATAAAGGAACTTCCAGTGTACCTGATATTCTTTCTGAGTCATAACAATTTGTTGTCCTTCAGGATCTGCTTTAATATTTGCATCCTCCAGGAGAGAAAGAAAATTTAGACAACACCAACATCCGTTGAAAGAGTTAAGAAATGGATATTCAAACTGGTTATAGCAATGGAGAGATTTTGCTTTGGAACAGGACACTACAACAGCTTCCAGTTTGTGGTTTGAGATACCTAGAAAACCCTTAACTTCAATGAGAGCTGTTCTGCAGCTTTTATTTTGGGATATATCCCAAGAATCCTTTTGAATCAAGACATCTGCAACTAATAACTAGTTCTCCAAGATCAATCATATCTAGAAATTAAATATCTATCTTCATATCCTATAAGCTGGATTTATTTCATTTATGTACTCCATTTTATGAATGGCAGCCTTCTTTTGACAGCAGTGATATAGACATTTCTGTATTACCTGTAAGCCCTAGCAACCCAAATCCTGCCTCTCCCAGCACAAGGATCATCTTGATGGAACTATACTCAATCTAGCCACAGTGTTGCACCAATCCCTCTCCTTTCCCTGTCAGGACCCCATATTCATGTTGTGCCTTCAAGAACACTCCAACTCATAGTAACCCTGTATAGGGTTTATGAGGCACAACTGGTGGTTTTGAACTTCTGACCTTGTGATTAGTAGTTCAGAGCCTATCCTACAGCACAACACGATACTATGATGATTATATGTTCTCTATCAATTGTCCAATAATTTAAAAATATATGCTTTTTCAGAAAAATAAATTGTGTTCTAGAATCACCTACCCATACAGTATATTGAGGTTCCAAATTATCGCAGTCCTTTGCAAAAATGTATGAACAGTTTCCTGGGAAATAATAGTATATTCCATCAAATGTTTCAAAGTGGTACTGTCCCCAGGTTTTGCAAATCCCGTCTCTGCCATTACCCATGTTTGGAACTGAAAAGAAATATAATAATATTTAGTAGAATAAATCTATTATAAGTTTCTGATAAGATTCAGCATGGCAGATGATTCCAATTTCCATTAAAATAAATATTTTCCTTCTTTCATGATCTAAATCAGGGGTGGGGAACATCCAACCTGTGGGTTATATGGTGGTGTGGAGTCGGTTGCAACTCATAGTGAGTTTCTGAATCTGCAAATCTTTATGGGAGCAGAAAGTCTTATCTTTCTCCCACAGAACCACTGATAGTTTCACACTGCTGACCTTGAGGTTAGCAGCCCAACTTGTAACCATTAAACTACCAGTGCTCTTTAGCCATCCTATTGGTGGTGGTGGTGGTGTGCCGTGGAGTCGATTTCAACTCATAGCGATGCTGTATCCAAGGCTATAAATCTTCATAGGTACAAAAAGCCTCAACTTTCTCCCCTGGAATGGCTGGTAGTTTCAAACTACTGACTTTGAGCTTATCTGTCTGACTCATAACCACTGAGCAACCAGAATTCTTTAGCCATCCTATTACGGGTGAGTTAATTAAATATTTGACCAAATATAGCATACTAATTTTTAAGGTGATCATTTTTTATGGCCTGCGAATGAGGTTATAAAATTTGGCAGAAAAAAAATACCCCATCCCTAGCCTAAATCAAGAAAGAAATAACTAATAACTAAACTTGCCAGTTTTTCACATTTTTTTCAAAATTGCCTCGGATTATTGATAATGAATTGTTTGAATTCCGGTTAGTATACTATATGATTGCCCCAACTCTCAATGTATGTGCAATAGCAAAGCAAATCATACTATAATGTTCTCCTCCTTATCTCATTATTTTCTCATAAGTATCTCTGAAACTTACTAATTTGGCATCTTGTCCCAAGTGCCTGAAATATTTGACAGTCGCATGTACCAGTCTTAGAACAGAAAGCTCCGTTAAGGCATTCATGAGGACAAGAACCTGCAAGGCGAAAAGGTAAGTTATTTTCTGGCAAACAGCAGTTTTTATAAACATAATACATCAGGATTTTGCTTGGACTAACCGTAACCAGTATTAACTCAAACAGAAATCTGGGCTTTTTGCCTTGATGAGCTAAAGAATTAAACCCATCAAATCTCTAGATCATTTCATTATGTGTGCTGTGAAGCTCAAAAGATAGGCTTTCATATCTCAAACTACCGTAAGAGCAAAGGTTAGCCTCCTTCAAGCAATTGAAAGGTCAAGTTCCCATGTAAGGAATCCCTGTCCCAGATGATGAAAACCAGAAATACACAAGCTGCAGATGATTCTTGACGAAGTTTGGCACTGGCTACACAGCCATTCACCTCCTTCTCCAGAAGCAAGCGCTGCACTAAAAGAATAGCATCGTCATTAGCCCAACGGGTCAGGCAAAGCATAAAATCAAAAGGAAAGTCCACTTTTGAGAAGCATTAAACATTTCATTTGAAGTTTGTATTTTAATCCTGAGGCTCAATTACAAATGATGCATGCTTGATTCTGATGAGGCAAAAGACAAAGCCACAGCTGATTGTCACTAAAAATATTATCTTTCATGGGGAAAAGAAAAATCATTCAAAAGGATTATGTTAAAAAGAGGAAGCATAACTATATGCTCTGACCCTAAATTTGCCATCATCTCCTGAGTCAGCTTTAAAAAATTCAGATGAATCAGAGTGAGATTTTTTCCCTCTATTAAGGACAGGACATGCAACAACTGGCAAAACTCAAGCAGGAGGGATTTAAGTAACACATCAGAACACCTTTGAGTCACCAAAAGTATTACTAAAGAAGTTGGGCCTCTCTGGAATATGTTAAGGTCATGGAAGATAGTTATCTAAATGGGATAATTTTACTAAAGTTCTGCCAAAGGCAAGAATTAGAAAGCCCTGTAATTCCTTTCCATCTTAAAATCTGTAGAGCTAAAATGTCTCTTTACATTTAAAAACAAACAATTCTCTAAGTATATCGCATTTGAAGAAAAAATTAGTTGTTTAAACTTTGATCATAAACATAGGTCTAAAAGTGATGATTTTCATAAACTTAAATGCAGAGTTTTTATCCTAAGGGAAAGTCTATATTTAAAATGTACCCTACATCACAATCTTACATTTTCCTTAAGAACACATATTTAGACATTTAGATTTACAAATAGATGTCCTTTTAGAAATTATTTACTACCATGTGTATTCTCCTAAAAACAAATATCAAGCCAAAGCTGGTAAAGATCATTATTTTAAAGGATAAGAATTTCCAGTTCATATTACCACTTGAATTAAATTTCAAATTATCATAGGTATCTGTTTAATGGAAATGGGAAATTGGTAAGTAAAAATAGGAATACCAAGGTACCAAGAACTAAGTAACTGATTCCGAAAAAAAAAAAAAAAAAATCTGATACCCAAGGATGCTTGCCCTATAGTTATCAGCTTCATCTAAGTATTCAGTCTTGGTTATTTAAAAAAAAAAAAAAAAAAAGTATAGATTTCTATTTGTACAGAACTATGTTACTAAGTATTGTTACCACCCTGGTTCAATTTCAGCTATGTATTATATGGAAGCAATAAATAATTGATTCAATATATTCCCAAAAGGAGTCTTTTGAGAAAGTAAATATAAAAACACTTGAAACACTGACCTTTTATTTTGCTGTCACCCCAATTAATAGCTTCATGGAAAAAATATCTTGGAGAAGTTGCTTCAAACTTGAAATAAAAAAATAAGTATTAAAATGATTAAATTATTTAATTCAGCCCAAACATGCAAATTAAAAGTTTGTAAATTCACTATAAATACAGCTTAAAATGTTGACTTTATACTTCCCGGGGTTATTGAGGAAATCTCAGTGGGCTAGAAAGAGCTTTTTTGGTGGTGATTAGAAAACTGGGTTTCAAGCCTTAGTTTTGTCTTTTACATGACGGAGTGATTCACCCTCAGTTCTCTTTCACCTCACTTTTGTACAAGGAGCCTGGTTAGATGTAATCTTTGATTAACTGATTGCTTTGCCTGCAAAAGTAACAGTTTTCTAACACTTCCAAATGCAGATAGAGCTGGAGACAAAGCAGGGACTGATGGACCAATAGGCAATGGTGATCCTCCTGCCTACAGACCTACCTAGAAAGACATCAGCCATTGAGACCTTTGTTGCCACAGGATTGGTCCTGTGCCACTTTCAGTCTCCAAAGAACTGAAACTCTTTGTTCAGACAGCATTTAAATGTATCTTTTTAAAGAGTCCAAGGTAGTTCAAAATAAAAGTAAAAAACCAAACCCACTACCATTGAGTCCATTCTGAATTATAACAGCCCTACATAGAGTTTCTGAGACTATCAATCTTTACAGAAACAGAGCACCTCATCTTTCTCCCAAGGGGTGGCTGGTGGCTTTGAACTGCTGACCTTATAGTTAAAAATACAATGCATAACCCACAGAGCCACTGGAGATTCAAGACAATTCAGAGTCATGAATTAGTGAATCAACCTTAAAGTCTTTACTTCAAGTCTTGGTTCTGCCATTATTCTTCTTAGGCAAGTTCCCTAACCTCTTAGTGTCTCTGTTTACTCGTGAGTAAATTGAGATCATAAGGGTGTCGCCTTCAATTTGTGGAGTCCTGGTGCATTGCTGTAGGGTAACTACTGGACTGAACTGGACTGCTAACCGCAATGCAGGCAATTCAGACTCACCGGCTACTGCTCAGAAGCCCGATACAGAGTTGTTATTTAAATGAATAAATGATAGAACATTATTCTAACCCAAGGCCCAATTTGGTGTATGAGCTT